TTATTTTAAGAGTGCGCGACCACAATATATAGGAAGCGTTATATAATAAACTAGATGTCGGAAGCATAGTATTCAGCTGTAGATCACGTGATATTTACATGTACTGTGAGACGCGGCCACAACAAGCAGTAGGTGCTGTACTAATCGTAGTATTGCGTCTACCCTTTAACTCGTACTACGTCGTACGAGTTATATACTAGCTACTGCATAAATCTGCTTATACCACATACTTCTATACGAAACGGCTAGTCCCGCTAATCCTGTCTGATCTTCCGGCCCGGTCTCAGCCAATAGGGTGGCGCTTAGCCTATACTCCCAACACTAGACTTAGTTAAGTATAGTGCTAGGGAAGACTAGCGTTCTCGAGCTAGCCTCCTCCTTAACCACACGTGTGTGACAGCACGGTTGGACTCAAGTACATAGACGAGGAATCGATTAGGCTATCTCTTAGGATCTAAAGGTAAAGAGGAAAGAAAGGAAGGAAGCGCCGAAAGGCAGGGTATATATACAGGCGAGCGGTCACGTGAGTATTCCTTAGCTGGCACGTGACTCCAGAACCGTGACATTATCCCCCCCTTCTGAAGAACGACGTCCTCGTCGTTGTATCCATCCAATTATCATTGTCCAAGTGATCATAATTATCAATTCCATCGTCAAATTGTTTCTTCCAAGCTAGAAGGGCCTCTGGGGGACCAGGCTTGCTTGGATTGGTCATGTGATACGCTATCAGCTTGTTAGGAGCGTATTTGAAGTCGGACGCCGGGTACTATTCTAGGTCTTCGTCCATGTTCAGCCACTTCACTCGGTACTGCAGCTGCTTTCGTCTTAGTCTGGAGGCCAAGATCTCGTCTACTTCCCATTCGATATCACCAGTTATATTTACCTCTGGCAGAGGCTCTTCCTCTTGCCCAAGTAGTGGATCCGCAGGGTCCTTTCTCAACTTATCGGCTGAAAACACGGGGTAAACCTTCATAGAAGCTGGCAAATCGAGCTTGTACGAGTGGCCCTTCTTTTCAAGAATCAAGAAGGGACCAGCGCGTATATTATCGAGCTTGCGGCTAGGGCGCTGAGTATTATACTGGGTAATCGTAACGTAGGCTCTGTCACCTACTTTCCAGTCAACTACTCTTCGTCTAGCGTCTTGCGAGCGCTTCATGCGGCTTTGAGCTTGTTCCATGTTCTTTCTGGCTATGGCAATAGCCTCGTCTATCCTCCTGGCTAATACTAGAGCTTTCTCTCTATTTAGCTTGGCGCTAGGAGTATTGTCGCTGTCGGGACGAGTATTCCAGTCGAAATGAAGTACGGGAGCAGTGCCGTACAGCACTTCGTAGGGTGACATCCCT